GTCTGCGCACCAGCGCGCTGCCAGCGTGCCCATGTGCGCGGGCTGCACCCGTTGGGCACCCAACTCGCGTGCCTTCCATTCATTCGAGCCACCTGGTTCCTTAAGCATCCCCACCAGGTTCTAACCCTTCTATAAGCATCCCAAAACCTCTGATAGCGCTTACTTTCGGGGTATGGTCTCGCCCGTGCACGTCTACGCCAATGCGCGTATTCGCGCCCTTCCTTGCGCTCGACTATTGCTCGTCCCGAGATCATCTTCTCGTACGCTCTTGCGCATGTTACCACGTGCACGTTCGCTTGCTCACGGCCATGCCATGTGCGCACTGTCCACCCAATATCCGCCCCTCGCGCACCGATTGTCTTCCTCGCAAAGTAAACGTCCGAGACCTTAGCCTCCAAGCATTGTGCGCGTCGCTTCCTCGCACACACCTTGCGCCATTCGACTACGCCGCTAAAGCCTTCAAGCCTCAAACTCTCGAGCTTCTTGCTCGACCTCCTATGCCATTGTGCATATCGGCACCCTCGTATACGTGCTCGTGCACGTCTCCTAGGCCATGCAAGTGTTGTTTGCACCCTTTACTCGACCTTGTCCATTAACCTCGGCCCTGGGCCCTTCACATCATCGAGGGTCAATTCCCACTTCCGTATCATTCTCGCCCCCTTTAAGAATGTCCTTGTCCTCAAGGACTCGTCATCGACCATTAATTGGGGCGTTCTCACCTCGTACACTACGTGCGCAATTTCTTCCTCAACCAGTGAAATCTCCAGCACACCTTCTTCATTCTCTTTCTGAACCTCGCCGGCCACTTCATCTCCTTTAGACTCAACCAAAGTTCCTTCATCTTCGACAAAGTCGTCGGGGTATTCATCGAATATAGGCGGTCCTTCATAGTCCGTCAACTCGTACTCGTACTTCATGACCGTTGAAAAATATTTCGAGAATTCAGATGGGGAGATGGACTCCTTACACTTTCCGTCGATCTGGCCTTCTCCTTTGTCGGACTTGCTTAGTACGCAGTCAGTTGCTCTAACCAACTCGCGTATCTTGGATTGTTGTTGCTCGATTGTGCATACCTCGTGCACCTCGCCTTCGACCTTAGTTACCTCGTCCTAGGCTTCTTCAAATACTTCGACGTCCATGAGTTCATCTTCGGGGTATACGTCGAAGATAGGTGGGCCATCATATTCCATCGAGTCATGCTCGACCATGCTCGCGTATGCGCTTACTTCCTCGACGGTAAAAATCTGACCGCCCCCATGCCAAACCCGCTCAATACTCTTGAGACCAAACTCCTTGGCTCTGCTGTCTTTGCTTACTTTTAACGTGACTCGGTGCTCTCCTGAGTCGAACTCCATGACTCCCATCCGGTAGTCGGTGGTCACCTTTCCTAAACCTTCGAGCCATTGTACTCCTAACACATCGTCGAGTCCAACCAAGGGTAGCGCATAGAGATTGGCTTTGATGGTGACTCCTTGAAATTTGATCGGTATCGCACGGTAAGCCTCCGAGCACTTTAGTTGTTCTCCATTGGCTACTCGGACCTCAAATGGTTCGACCTTCATCGTTGGCAACTTCAACTTTTGAGATAGATCGGCGTTGATGAAGTTGTGCGACGATCCGTTGTCTACTAGCACGACTACACGACGGTCCTTGACCAACGCCGGCAGCCGCATCGTCGTCGGTCCTCTTGTACTAGCCATCGCATGCATCAAGATCTCGGCTTCCTCTTCGAGAACCCCAATCTCGACTTCTTGCTCCCAATCCTCCTCGATCTCGGGCTCTTCATTATCGATGACGTGGATGACAAAAGCTTGCTTGCATTGATGACCAGGCGTAAATTTCTCGTCGCACTTGAAACAAAGTCCCTTCTCACGTCGGCGCCTTATTTCTTCAGACGTCAAGTGCTTGACTGGTGGTCGTGTGCTATTAGTCGGTCGAGAGTTGTCAGGTGGTCGACCGCTCGGAACCATATCGTTTGCATCCGGTTGTGCGCGTCGTGTTTCGGGATAGCGTACGTCCGTCCGTCCCCTTCGAGTGGCGGTGAGGTGGTCATCTCGGTGTTGAGCAACCTCCATAGCCGCGTGCATCGATTCGGGCCGCTCTAACCGCACCTCTGCAGCTAGGTCAAACTTCAGGCCTCCAATAAATGCCCCTACCAACGCGGTCTCGGGCCAGCCTCGTACGCGACATGCCAATCGCTCGAACTCATTTAGATAGTCGCGCAAGCTTCCTGTCTGCCGTATGCGTGATAGCGCCTCATTGTAGTTGTGGTAGTCGGATGTTCCGAATCGCGTAAGTAACTCGCGCTCGAAGTCGTTCCACCTGATGACTTGTCGTCAGCCACGGTAGACGCTTGTAAGCCACTGCCACCACACGTTGGCTTCTCCATCAAGATAGTAAGCAGCGTACTTTACTCGATCGTTTCTTTCGATCTCATTCAGCTCGAAATATTGGGCAGCCCGGTTGAGCCATGCATCGGGATCTGCGCCGGTGAATGTGGATAACACGAGCTTTGGCTTTTCTGGCTTTGGTCGGTCGTGGTGGTTAGACGCCTGGGACCGTTGGTCGAAGTCGTCTTCCCGCTCGTACTCCTCGCGCCGTCGCTCGCGGTCCACGTCTCGCTCGCGCTCATCATGTCGCTGTTCCTCTTCGTGTCGCTCACGGTTGTGGCGTCGTTCAAGCTCTCGATCCTCGCACCGTCGTTCGTGGTGATCATCATGCTCGCGCTCGCGTCGTCCTTCATGCTCGGGCCGATCGCGATTGGGCCGTCGGGGCGGTGATTGGCGCGCCAACATGTTGCGTGCCATCTCATCGAACCTTCGGTTCATGATCTCCATCAATTCACGAACGGACGCCTTTGTGGTATCGAGACCCTCGCCTAGGGTATTCATAGCCTCGCTCATACTACGGACTTGAACATCGAGATTATCGATCTTGTCCTTCATCTCCTTGTTGACCATGGCTTGCTTCTAGGACTCGTGTTGAAGATGATGATATAGGTATTTTTTTTTTTGATATAGGAGGGGGGACGAAAAAATAGGAAAAGAAAAAGAAAGGGAAAGGGGTAGAAGAAAAACACACGATCAACACCTCTCAATGAAAGCACCAATGATGAGGATCGGTGTTTCGACTGCCGATAAGCCGCTAACCCGCGCCTTGAATCGCCGATAGTGTTTCTCTAGCCACAACCGCGCCTATTGAAACGATAAAATTGCAATAGTATTCTGGTGA